ATAAATAATAAAATAAATGTAATTTCTTTATTAACTTTGGCCATATGTTCTAGTATAACTAATTTTCTTTCTCTAGTTCCCTTTGAAAGAAATTACTCAATGAATACCAGGTATTTCATGTCAAAATCTGGGTTCAATTTCTGTGAATTCAACAAGAAATAGCTGTGTGGCCTTAGAAAAAGTACAGTCTTTCCTGAGTTTTAATCTATTATATTTACAAAAGGAGGTGAATAGCTCTTGCCTTCTTGGAAAATTTTAAATATAAGGAACCCACTGTAAAGGAAACATTCAATACTCAGTAGCTACAGTTATTAGAAGGAAATTCCACTCCTTTTTAAATTCTTCCCAAATCATTAAAATCAGAGTGGTTACTGTTCATTCTCGCCATTTAAGTCACTCATTAATTTAGAAAAAAAAAAATAAAAGTTCTAGAGCTGATTTATTTTCTGATTATTTCTCTGGGTTCTACCCCTTTAATAGGGGTGTCAATCATAAAACATTCAGTAAAACACATGGACTTGCTTCCATAACAGAATTCTCTCCACGGTTTGATGTCAGTGTTTGCAAAGGCAATGAAAAGTAGAAGAAAGGCAAAAATATTTCAATAATCACTATTCCAATTGTCTAGTATGTTTTTTTTTTTAAATTTATGCTTGCCATTTTTTATGATCCTGGTAAAAAGAGGCTTATTTTCAAATATGGATGATCCCCTGAGGACTAGGAATAGACCCACCAAAATTATGCAAATTTAATTGCATGGATTTGTTAGTAGCTATACAATCTCTATAAAGGAAGGAGTAATAAAGATCTCCAGTTCATTTTTAAACAGTTATAGAAAGCAGATCCCGGAGAGATGGCAAATATGGAGGATTACTAATGCAAAGAGAACTATGAGAGTAGAAGACATGAAGGACAGCTAATCATCATAAAGGGCAATAGGATTGTGGTTCAAGAGAACATGTGGCAGTGTACAATACTATACTGAGAACAACAAACAAAGACACCTATTGATAAGATCTCTTGTCTTCAGGGCTTCAAACAGGTTCATTCCTATTCAACCCCCTGTTAAGAATTTGTATTTCATCCCAGAAATACTGAATAAGAATCTATAAGAATCACTTGTGAGGTTTGCTGTCTGATAGAATGTGGTAGAACCTCTGAGGCTATGGCCTCTAGCTGCCTTTCAGGTCTGGAATTGAACCAACTCCTGTAGCTTCCAGCCAGAAAAAGACAGGCATATGAGATAAATATTTACATTAGGTAGATAACACTGCTTGGAGAGATCAATTCTGGGAGAATAGAAGGACTGTGTATGCACAGGGAGACATCTCAGGGGTCAGGAATGTATGAGAGAGAAGGATACAGGGTAGAGGTATCTATGGGGAGGACGTTGGAAAAGAGCTGTTGCATTGTGGGAAATTTCAGCCAATGTCATGAAACAAAGTGTATGTGAACTGCTGAATGGAAAATGAATTTGTTCTGTAAACTGTCATCCAAATCACAATAAAAATTAAAAAAAAAAAAAAAGAATCATCTGTGGAATCTTGTTAAAATGTAGATTCTGATTCAGTATGTCTGTGGTAGGAATGCACATTTTCAGTAGAAGGTCGAACCAGAATGAACAAATTTGAGATTGAACAAATTTGAGATTCTATTTTTCTCAGGGGAGCCCTGGTAGCATAGTGGCTAAGACACTTGCCTGCTAATCAGATGGCTGGCGGTTCAAACCCACCAGCCACTCCTCGGAAGGAAGGTTGGGCAATCCTACTTCCGTAGTGATACTGCCTCGGAAACCCAAGGAGGGGTCGCTATGAGTCAGGGCCGACTCGATGGCACATAACAACAACAAACAACAACAACAACAAATTTTTCTCAGGGCTAGATATCTAGCTGAGTAAGGTAATTGGCAAAAAAAAGTTAGTAAAAAATAAAAGCACGTTAAAACTGTTACCATAACACCGAAAACTATGCAAATAAATGCAGAGAACCATAGAAATTGGCAATTACTTGATAAGCAGAAAGCATAAATTCTTTCAAACAGTGATTAAAATGTAATAGGAACTGAAGACTGAGAAGCTAAGTTTAGTTGAAGATTAACGGATACAAGAATAAAAGCAACATATAGTAGGCCTAGGTCATCTGATAGTGATGTTACTTCTTACCATTAACAGGAGAATACATGTGCTTGTGTTATATAGTCATCAGGAATGAATTTAATGTAATAAATTTAATCATTAAACTTAGTGCTTCTAATGATTTAGGCAAAAGAGAGACTAAAGGGAGGAGGCAGAGTGGGAGAGCATGAGCACTCAGTTCTTTCTTGTCTGCATGGTAATAATTTAATTATTTAATGGAAACTGAGGTATATTTATTGAATAATGTAGGTCAGGTTGCTCCATAGTTCTAAATTAAAGAACAGTAAGAAAGCCATTAGGGAACAGTGGTAGTTAAGCGGTAGAATTCTAGCCCTCCTGGCTGGGAAACCCTGGTTTGATTCCCAGCCAATGTAGCTCATGTGCAGCCACCACCTGTCTATCACTGGAGGCTTGTGTGTTGCTATGATGCTGAACAGATTTTGGCAGAGCTTCTAGATTAAGACAGAGTAGTAAGAAAGGTCTGGTGATCTACTTCCGAAGATAAGCAAATGAAAACCCTATAGATCATCACTGTCCAATCTTCTTGTGATGGGGTCAGTGGGAGTCAGAGTGAACTCCATTGCCACTGACAAGGAGAAGAAAGCCATCAATCTACTTATTCTCTGTCCATTGCTGCAACCTGAATTTTGCACCCACATTAGCCATTCCAGTGTTGTTGTTGTTGTTGTTTTTATGTGTCGTTGAGTCGGACCCGACTCATAGCAACCCCTCCTTGGGTTTCCTAGGCAGTATCACTACGGAAGTAGATTGCCCAACCTTCCTTCCGAGGAGTGGCTGGTGGGTTTGAACAGCCAGCCTTCTGGTTAGCAGTCAAGTGCCTTGGGCACTACGCTACCAGAGCTCTAGTAGGACAGAATAATCTTAACTTTGTGTCTATGAATTTAAGCAGACTTCTGGTGGCGTAGTGCCCAAAACATTTGACTGCTAACCAAAAGTTTGGGGGTTCAAACCCACTAGCCACTCCTTGGAAGGAAGGTTGGACAATCTACTTTCATAGAGATACCACCTCAGAAAACCAAGAAGGGGTCGCTATGAGTCGGATATGACTCTACAACAGTGGATTTGGTTTTGGTTTGGTATCTCCTCTTGCATTGGTGCTTCAGTGGCAGAATTCTCACCTTCCATGTGGGAGATACATGATTCCTAACCAGTGCACCTCCTGCATAGCCACCACCTGTCTGTCAGCAGTTGGTTGCTAACCAGGTTTCAGTGATGCTTCTAGACTCACATGGACTAGGAAGAAAGGCCTGGCAATGTACTACCGAAAATCACCAAGTGAAAATTCTGAGCATCACAACAGTCCGTGACTAATTGGTAATGAAGATAGTACAAGAATGGGCATCATTTCCTTCCATTATGTATGAGGTCACCACGAATTGGGGGCTAACTCGATTGCAGATAGCAACAGCAACAACATTTTGATTTCTTCAGAATTCCTGGTAGTATAAATGATTAACAAGCTTGGTTGCTACCTGAAAATTTAAAGGTTCAAGTCCACCACAGGTAGCTCAGAAAAAAGGCCTGACAATCTACTTCCAAAAAAGCAGCCACTGATAACCTCTGATAGCAATGGGGTCACGATGAGTCAACTCAAAGGCAGTTATTCTCCTCCTCCCCTGGTGCTCTTTGAACAAACCAAAGCCGGCTTCAGGAGGTAAGAAAGACAATTTTTATGGTTAACAACCAGTGTAATTCAGTTCAACAAACATTGTAGGCTGTTATATTTTACTTAGAAATATTAGGCATTTACATAGAACCAGGTGTCCTACCATCGGTGGAAGTCTAGATCCTTCAGCCCAGAAAGGCAGACCAACAAAGAAATAGTCACAAAATAAGTTAGCAACCTATAGATTACTTTATTTAGATATGATAATGCCTGCTACATCCAGCTGTTTTTTTTTTTTTTTTTTTTTTTTTTTTTTTTTTTTTTCTGTCTTGTTTTGTTTTATACATGTTTTACTTCTATAAACTTGGATTATCAGAAAAACACCAACAAGTAGTTTCCCTGGCTCAAAAAAAAAAAAAAAAAAGGTATATTTTTGGTATCTAAAAGGAGGACTTTGATATTTAAATTTATATATTTATATAATTTATGTGTTTATATTTAATTGCTTTAGCCTTATTTTGTCCTTTGGCATGATTGGTTCCCTGATTTCCCTCCAGCAGTGGTTGCTTTGAAGTTGTGGACATATTAAATCAACTACTTGGATCACCTGTGCCTCCAAGAATGCGGTTTCTCAGGTATGAGCAATCTATCAATCTCCTACTCCCTTTTCACCTTGGCATGTTGAAAGTCCAAGCAGATTTCTTAGGCGGATATTTTATTCCCTACCTCATCTCAGCAGCTCTTACTAAAGTAAGAGTTTCAGGACTGCCTGTATAAGGTGCAACTTTCTTGTCCCAAGAGATTAGTACATTTCATGATGGCTGTGCAAACATTCATAATTATGCTTCCAGGTAAACACACTGCTGTCTTCTTGGAAAAAATGAGAAGAACAAAGAATGTTTATATACATGTCCAGCCATTCCAAGTATCTCATCTTGGTTTAGACACACCTGGCTTACCCTCCATCCCCCTATGACTGGCTGAGAAAGTTGCCACACCTGATTTGTAAGTTTACCTGTCTTAGCCAATAACGGGGTGGGGGTGGGGGCTGTACCTCAGCAGCCAATCCAGGATTTAATCTAGCTAGAAGTAGTAAAGCAACACTTATTTGAAACACCACTGGGTTCCTGAGATCATTACTGTTTTTTTTTTTTTTTTAATGAGGCACACAGAAACTTGCTTCAGAGTAGTTCTGCTAGCTCAGGAGTCCAGACTGATAAAACTCATCCAGGTGGATAATGGCCACTTCTGCTCTACAAATTGCTGGACTAGTGTTTGGTGGTCTTGGCATGGTGGGGACACTGGCTGTCACCATCATGCCTCAATGGAGAGTGTCTGCCTTCATTGAAAGCAACATCGTGGTTGCTGAAAACAGGTGGGAAGGACTTTGGATGGCTTGCATGCGGCATATGAACTTCAGGATGCAGTGCAAAGTCTACGATTCCCTGCTGGCTCTTTCTCCAGACCTGCAGGCATCCAGGGGATTGATGTGTACTGCTTCGGCGCTGTCCTTCTTGGCTTTCATGACAGCCATACTCGGCATGAAGTGCACCAGGTGCACTGGAGACAACAAGAAGGTGAAGGGTTACATCCTGCTAACGGCTGGAATTATCTTCATTGTCACAGGCATTGTAGTGCTCATCCCTGTGTGCTGGGTCGCCAATTCCATAATCAGAGATTTCTACAATCCAATACTGGATATTGCACTGAAGCGTGAGCTCGGAGAAGCCCTGTACATAGGCTGGGTCACTGCATTGGTGTTGATTGCAGGAGGAGCACTCTTCTGTTGCATGTTTTGTTGCAATGAAAAGAGCAGCAGTAACTACAGATACTCAGTACCCTCGCATCGCACGACCCAAAAAAGTTATTACACGGGTAGGAAGTCACCGAGTGTGTACTCCAAAAGTCAGTATGTGTAGTTTTGTACTTCTGTTTTCCTGAGTTTATCTATAAAGCCATGCAAATGACTAAAATGTCCACTACAATCTAAATATGGAAACCAAAGGTACATTGATTTGCCATTGTTGACTGTCTAACATAAATTACAGGGACTGTGCATCTACTATTTATGATTCTATAAGCTATTTCAGCAGAACAAGATATATTTGATTGTTCTAAGAACTTGTCTTCTAAATGGGTTCATGCATCTATTCTTTTTATCAGTTACTTCAAACAACATTGTTAAAGACTATTATTTTACTACTGATGTCTCTGTGACCTAGCATTGTGTACGTAGATGAGTGTGATGTTTATATCTCGCATAGATAGAGGCAGGTTTATAAGGTTCAATTGAAAATGAAATACTGATCAATTACACTGAATAAATAAAACTTAACTATTGATGTTTAGGAAAATCGGGGATAAGAGTGAAGAAGGTTAATATTTGTTTAAAAACAGCTTGGAGATTAATGTGCTTCATTTATAATGAATGTTAAAATGAAGGTTTTAATTAGCAGTATAGAGAAAACGAAATAGCTTTCTGATATCCTGTTTTTCAGCCTAGGAGTTAGAAATTGCAATTCTTTTATCCTTTTTCCCTGAGCCCTTCATTTCTTGTATATTAAATTAACATCTTTTAAGGGGAAGATATTTTGTTAAGGAGCTTTGTATTCAAACTGCTTTCCCAGGGCTGTATTAAGAAGAAAGATAAAACTGTGGTCGATGAAACATTAAAGATTTCAGGAAAGTGATCCCTTCCCCACTTAACGTTTAAAAATTGGAGAAGAAAGTGCAGTTTGACAAGGGATTACCAATGTATGTGAATGTTTTAATAAATATCTGAATATAAAATTTGGACTTTCATCAACATGAATTTAAAAAAGATATAAAAATAATGTTTTGCCTTTTATCTGCTTTCTAGAAGAGAAAAAGAAAAAAAAACTTTTTGTGAACGCCGTCTGCTTTGTGTGGCTACCAAAGTCAAAATTGTCATTTCAGTCTATTTAAAGAAAAATTTCCTAGTTGTCACTCATTGTTGTTCCATTTTGCTAAGGTCTATTTGTTTTTTTGGAGGGGTTTCTTTTTTTGTGTGTATGTGTGGCTAAGGAATACAATGTCTTTGTACTGCCTCCAAAACTGATAGAACTGATAACTCAGTGTGAAATTTAGTATCTATATTTGTCTAGCATATGTAACTATGTATGCTATATGCTTTATATTAATAAATTGTGACTTTTATATTAATTTGACCTTCTTTCATTATTCTCCAATTGTGTGTGTTATTAACTTGTAAGAAAGTTTTCAAAACCTGCTATTTTCAATTCTTCAATTTTAAAGGAAATATCTAGACCACATTTTAAAGATAAAAATAAATTCAGCCTTAACTCTTGAGAAAATAAAGTACTATATGCCATTTAGTGATAGTGTACCTTATAATCCTCATTGGGTATCTACACTAATGTTTGATGCAGAAAATATACTTATAATTTATTAAAATAGTATTATAGGTCCCAAAAAATCTATTTTACTAAGAATATTATGTAAGTAGGAGACATCTCTTTAAAAATATTTCCATAGATGAATCTTTTTGCTTACCTCTGAGATATAATAGGTATTAATAATCGTATAATGTTTTGGTGGCACTTATTGTGTGCTAGGCACTGCTTTGTGTATAATATCATTAAATTTTCACAGCTATCCTATCAGATGGATAATGTGATTAGTTCAATTCACAGATGAAGATAACCTGGAACAATTAATTGATGACCCAAAAGAGTCAGGAGAGAAAAATAAAAAATACTATAAACATAAGGACTGACTTCATAGATCATGCTTTTTCCCTTAAGGGAAAGTAAAATTTCTTCATCAATATTAGTCTTTTTATATGAAAATGGCATGTTTAATTTCTTATAGTATAGGAAAAGTTTTAGTTGATTTTTTTGTATTGGTGATTTTCCAATACTTAAGTGTTAATTCATCCTAAGCTTTTTTGTTGCCTTCGGTCAAAACATTCATGAAAGCAAAAATAGAGCAAAAGTAACTAAGGACCTTGGAGAAGTAGCCTCAAGGCCCAATCTAAAGATCATTCTTTAACCAACCATTTTTTTTTACCTAAAAGCTCCCCTAAATGTCTTAAACTCAATTTATTTTTTCCCTTTTATTTTCCTCAAAGTAGAATTAAAGTTCTGCTATATCTTCTTATGGCACCAACTCTTGAGTATCTATCTATATAACCTTTCTTCACCTTTCCACTATTAACTGTGATCTCAGCTCTTTCTTGTCCTCAGGTCTAGTAGGACTCATGACAACCCCATGTGTGCAGAGTAGAGCAAACAGCTCCATGGGGTTCTCAAGGCTGTGAACTTTCATAAGTAGATCACCAGGCCTGTCCTCCAAGACATTTATGGGTAGGTTCAAGTTTCCTTCTTTTAAGCTTGTAATTGAGATCTTAGCCTTTTGTGCCACACAAGGACTCCTATCTCTTTCCTACTGTTTGAAAAAGCCTTCTAGACTTATGTCACTACCTGCAGGATCTCCCTCCAGCTCTCCTCCATAATCCTATCTCAGCTCATTCTGAAATACTCGTTCTAAAAATTCTGAACTCATCATAATCTTTGTGGGAATGTCCCAATGACTACAAGATAAAGTCCAAATTTTTATCATATAATAACTGAAAGGAAGGAAAATGTATCTTATAATCTTCAAGAAAAATTTTATCAAACAGTATTACAAACTCTATAAAGTTGATGTCCAGAAATTAAACTAATTCACATGCCAAAGGCCTCCTTTAATGTCCTGAAAGGAATAATTGGGAATTGAGAAATGGTTCAATTGATGGCAAGTTTTCTAATGCAGATTTATTATGTAGTTTTATGAAAAAAACAAAAACAAAAACAATGTGATGTGATGGAAAGAAGGCAGAACAGATGATTTTAAGCCCTAGCCTTATAGCTAGTTAAGTTTTCTGACTGTGGGCAAATTAAAGAATCCAAAATCTCAATTTCCTCATTTATCATTTTCTAATTACCAGGTGGAGATAATGGGTATAAAACTCAAGCCGTTTTAATGAATTAGAAGCAATAACTATTTTGCACATACTAAAGGCAACATGAATAGCACAAAGAGAACTAGCTTTTGAAAGAGCCAAATGAGACCAATCCCATGCTCACCACCAAGCAAGTGTGTGAATTTAGAAACACTCTTAACTTCTCTTAGCCTTAATCCACTCATATGTAACATGAAAATGATAGGGTTGTTGTAGGAAGGAAATATATAAACTAGCCCAATGCTACATTCACTAAATGCTGGATTTCTTCCCTCTTTATAATCCCACTAACTCACTGCCATCAAGTCATTTTTTGACTCATAACAACTCTCATTGTGTTTCCAAGGCTCTAAATCTTTATGAAAGTAGGTTGCCTCTTCTTCCTCCCAAAAAGCAGCTGGTGGGTTTGAACCTCTAATCTTCTGGTTAGCAGCCAAATGCCTAACCAAATGTGCCACTAGAGCTCCTTTTTATAACATATATCCTTAAAATTCCTTGGAGTTCCTAGCAAAATAACACACATTAAAAAAAAAAAAAGTAAGCCAAAATTTTGAATAAAATATTAAAACCATGACTTTTCTTTATAGGTCTTCATTGTGAATCTTATCCACAGGTCAGTCATTTTATTACTAGTTATAAAGACTTTGTAGATGAGTTAAGAGAGAAAAATATAGTTTTGCAGTTTTATCTTTCACGTTTAAAGAAAATACATTAATATGTACACATCTTAGTTTTTCTTAGCAAGATTTAAATAAATATGCTAGGATATATGTTTAAAGTATTTTTCAATTATCCTTTTAATCCATTTGTAAAAAGTTTTATGTGCTAACATTATTCTCAGAACATGAGATTTGCTGATATTTTGGAAATGTGCCATTCTAGAGTCCGTTAGGTCAGAATTAACTTCTCAAAGCTTGTTCAAGCAAGTAAAGCTTTTAGATAGTGCTCAACAGTTGTCTTGGTGACCACTCAGAAGTAATAGCGAGAATCAGCATGTGGAAGATTCCATTAAGGAAAAAAAAAAAAAAAGAATTCCATTTATGTGAAATACCCAGAACAGAAAATCCATAGAAACAGAAAGCAGATTAGTGGTTGCCAGGGGTTAGGGTGAAAGAAGTGACTGCTTAATGGGTTTTTCAGGGTTTTCTTTTGGGATGTTGATAAAGTTCTGGAACCAGTTAGTGGTGAGGATTGCACATTGTGAATGTGCAATCGAATTGTACACTTTAAAAATGGATAAGAAGTTAACTTTGTGTTACATGTATTTTACCAAAAGGAAAAGAAATAAAAGATGCTTAAAAAGAAATGTAATGATTTCTCAAGTTATTAGCTTTTGCTAATCACTTCTTTTTACAAGGAAAAATCAGTAGGTTAGGTGTACATTACATTTTTAAAATATTTTAACATTGAGAATACATTTGTGTTTCAGATAAAATATTACCATCTCAGCCAGAAACAATATGAGTTAAGAGAGAAAAACAGTTAGAAGTTCATATTATATAGAGCCAGAGAGCTGTTTTTGAATTCCACTCTGCCTCTTAAGACCGTGTGTTCTTAGGCAAATTCACTAACCTCGTTACATTTCGTTGTCCTCATCTGTGAAATAGATATGATGATAGTATGGAAACCCAAGGAGGGGTCGCCATGAGTGGGGTCTGACTCGAAGGCACATAACAACAATAACAACATAGTACCTGAATCCTAGGATGGTTGTGAATATTAATTTAGGTAATATGTAATGTACATAAAGTCAAAAAAAGAAAACAAAAAAACACAAACTTGCTGATGTCGAGTCCACTTGACTCATAGCAACCTCTCCTTGGGTTTCTGAGGCGTTTTGATTGCCCAATCTCCTTAGGAAGAGTGGCTGGTGGATTTGAACAGCCAGCCTTCTGGTTAGCACTCAAATGCCTTAGGCATTATGCCATCAGAACA